TATCGAGTGTCATTAAATAAAGATGCGGCAAAATAAAGGTTATACTTCTAATTTAGTATTGGAATAGGAAAGAGAAAAAAAAAAAAAAAAAAAAAGGAGGAATCAATAATCACCATCATTACCATTATCATCATCTACATCCCGAATCTACTTTAATGATATACGTGATTTTGGCTCAATGACATCCATGCAACACTATTATTAAGAATTAGAGAGGTCCTTAATTTTATACCAGCAAGATCGATTTCAAAAAATAAAAAATAAAAATAAAAACATACGATATTTGCACTAATAGTATAGTTCACTCTAAATACAAGTTAGATACACTTTTAGACATCGGAAAAATTCACTATGAGACATTTATAAAATAAAATCTCACACTTCTGAATTTTTATATTTTTTTTAACATTTCAATAACTCTAAATATGACACTCTCTTATATAAAGAAAGTTATAATATGAAATCCTTAAAGTACTTTTAATAAAATTTTAGTATGTATATCGTCTCTACATTAGAACAATAATTAATCTTCATAATTTTAACAGCTGTTATCACCAAAAAAAATGTTAAAATTAATTTTTTTTTTCTCAAAGCGAGCGCGTGAAATAAAAATGATCAAAGCTCAAAAGGAGAATTCCTTGCGAAAGATGATTACCTTTTTCTTGTTTTTATTGTTTTGAACTTTGAAGGATTCACAAAGCAGCTTTGGTGGGGTTCATGGAGTGGTAGATTCTCACCGCTGACCAGAAAGAAAGATATTCAATTGAGTTGAAATAAGTGCTGAAAATGACAAAAGAAGCTTCCTACGATATTAATGAATGATTTAATTGATACCTGCTTAGGGCTTTTTTTTTTTTGCTGGATTTATTTTTTGGCTGGAAACTGTAGATTTTTTGCGTTTTAAATGTCCCTTAGTGACTGTCCTAAGTCTCAAACAATGTTTAAATTATATTAAATCAATTCATTTAATAAATTCAATTATTAAAACATATTAAAATTGTAAAAATATTTCAATTATTTTAAAGGATAATTGGTTTCATTAGTCCCTCAATTTTAGGTAAAATGACATTTTAGTTCCTAATTTTTTAATTTTGACATATTAATCTTTGAATTTATTTTTTGACACTTTTGATTTCTGATATTAAAATTGATAAACATTTTTGAAATTTAACATATAAAATTACATCATTATCGCATAATAATTGAAAATTTTACATAAATAATTATAATAATTACAAAATACATATATTAAGCTTTTCAACAGTAATGAATAGAAAATTTTACGTGTAATGTAACTATTTCTATAAAATTTCAAGTTATCACTTGATGGACACATGACCATTTTTATTAAATTTCAGAAATTGTTCATCAATTTTAATATTAGGGACTAAAACTGTCAAAAATAAATAAATATTCAAAGACTGATATACTAAAATTAAAAGTTTAAAGACTCAATTATCACTGTATCTAAAGGTTACGGACTAAAAGTACCAATCACTCTATTTTAAATGAGACATTATTTAGAATTATAATATGTTTTCATGTTATAATATAATTGGTTAAATACTATATGAAACACTAAAATATTGAACAGGTAATCTTGCATTTTAAATGCTTTTAATTCAAATATCTAGAGAGAGAAAGCCTTACAGGTAATTTCTCAATTCATAGATCAATTTTATGGTTACACGGCAACACAATTCAAATTGCTTGTGGGACTACTAAAGAAAAAAGAGGATAAAAATGTTCCATCCAAACTGGAAATATATAAAAATTATATATTGTTGGACTTTGAACTTTTAGGAAAGAGACTTTGTCAACCTGGCGTGACCGACTTATAACGTTTCTTATAATTCACTTCCTTGACCAAATATATGCATATCTTATTTATTATCCATCTTTCACTTTCCTCGTCCTTGACCAACTTTACATTGGACATATATAGATATTGCCAATTTGATTGGATGAGCAAAAACAACTATTTCTGACTTGGAAGAACATACCTTAATTTGTATTTGGATTTTTGACACAATTGTCTCTCAAACTTATCGTGATTAAGTAAATTATCTCTTAAATTTTTAATTTTGACAAGTTACTATTTGAACTTGTAAATTTATTACAATGTGTCCAATTTAATTAAATTTGCTTAAATTTTATATTAGATTTAAGGCATTAAAAGTTGAGATATTAAAATATTTGTGTTACATTTGAATTGAAATGTTGAAATTTTTTACTGAATGTGTTTTTTTGATACTAATTTAACACAATCATCGTCAAAATGAGACACATTGCAATAACTTTACAAATTGAGGAGATAATTTATCAAAATTAAAATTTTATGGGACAATTTACTAAATCACGATAAGTTTAGAGAGGCAAATATACTAAAACCCCTATGTATTTAGTAGCATAAATTTTGATAGAAATTATCTCAATCAAGATTAATATAGCTAATTTATTTGAGGGAACCAGAAAAAGAGGAGTTATCCGTTTAGCATGCCAATATGATTATTCAGTATAACGATCTTTAAAGTAGATCCAAATCTTTTGAAAGATTTTATTTTCTTTTTGTTTCACTTATACTTGCTTTTTCTTGACTTGGCAAATCCTTCATCTCCCCTCAATCACTTTTTCCCCCACTATTCAGAGCTATATCATAAATGATAGGTTCTACATAATGCTTGACAACAAGCTATGTACAATTTTTTTTTTTTTTTTTTTAAAGAAAATAAAGAAGAAGAAGAAAAACTTATGCCATTGATAAAGAAAATAAAATAGAAGAGTCGCAAGTTATTACTGCGGCCCCTAACGATTGGACCGATTGGTGTACAAGTTGGGCCACTTGCAGAAAGTACTACTAACGAGAACCATTGAACCGAGTCCTTAACGTTAACAACAAGGTAGTAAATAGCGTGTTGAATGGAAAAAGTCGTTTTTTTTTTTTTTGGAACTTTTATGGTAAAAATGGCTATTTTTGCTTAGAGGATTATTTTGGCCATTGGATTAGTAAGGACAGTTATATACCGCGCACCATAAAAATTAATCACGTGATTAAAATTAACAATTTTTATCAGTGGACTAGAGTAACAGTTTCTATAGTACGAGTTTTTCTTTTTTTTTTTTGGTATTGAAATATTACTTTTGACACTTATGCCATACTGTCTATTGAATTGAATATGAGGTTGATATGCATATGTTTTACTTTTATACTTTTGCCTGTTCTTCATCTAATCTCCATTCCTTATCATGCGTTGAAATTACCAACTAGAAGGAAAAATAGCATATGCCATGAAACTCACTTCCTCTGAAGACATTTTACGCTGTAAACTTCTTAAGAAGTGAAAAAAAAAAAAAAGTTCATTTATATTCATGCTTTCATATTAGTTTTCTTTCCCCTCTTTCTAAACTCGGGCTTTCTTAGTTTGAATTTTTAGTTCTCAGTGAGTGCCGAGTCTAAGGCACCTGTTTTTGTACATAGATATGTCATCACTTGTGGACATTGAATATGCATCTTCCTTCTAGCTAAAAATGATAATAATTTGCTTTATGTAAAATGATCATAATTTGCCATGTTCCCTTTCTTCCTCGTTTGTATGAAACTCAGCCCAAATGCCATTTATAAAACCTAATTATATATTTAACTATACTATTTTTATCTGTAAATTAACTCAAATCTTTTCATAAAAATGATGTATTTAGTAGGTAAAAGATCTCAAATTCCAATCTTACACAAAGCCTTTGAGATTATTTTTAAATTACCGATTCAATATTCATTAGGTCGTTATATTAAAAAAAAAATTCAATATTCATTACTTCTTAATAAAATTAGTACGACACATTTCGTCTCTCAAATTATTGTATCTACAACTTAATGTGAACATAGGAGGTACCCAGGGGTGACCATCCCTTCACATTTTTGTTCACCGAAAAAACTCTTTTAAAAGTGATGGTCTTCTGATTCGCCATTTCTGTTGGTTCTAGAAGGGTCTAAACAAATGTAGTCACCCTCCTCTAGGAAAAAATGAATAAAGAAAGAAACTTGTCACCCTAAAATTAAAATTAAAAAAATAAAAAATTAAAAAGAAAAAATAGAAAATTTACTCTTGAGAGTGCATGAGTCTGGACTTTTATCTTTTACTCTTGATAAATACCCTTTTATTAGTATAATTATTTAACTAAACAAATATAAATTAAAAATAAATAGTAAAAATCCTAATTCAAGCTTTTAAGGATATTTACGAGGATTAACCAATTGAAAAAGAGTAGCCATTACCCATTTAAACATGGCCCATGACTCTCGGCCCATAGCAGCGATACAGGCAATACCGGTAGAAGCCTCAGGGAAGTGGAGCAATTGCGTAAAGTTCCCCATCAAACTTAAGACCATCAATTAATTTTTATTTTTTTATTTATTATCTCTTTGATGCTTATTTCACATTAAAAACTTAAAGAGAAGGCCTAAACAGACCAAATTTTGCAAAACTGATAACAATAAGGAATACTTGGAAATTGGAAGAATAATAGTCTAATTTTTAAGCATTTTATAAAAGGCTTCTTTCAAAATTGTCGCCTAAGGCTCCAAAAATTGTTTGAGCCGACCCAGTATACATGTTTACATTTTCTTTTGGTAACATTACCAATGCAACCTTCTGAACTCTCAAACGGGAATCACATTTAGATACAATGTATAAAAGAATGTGAGTGTGTGTATAAAGTTCTGAAATTAATTAGAAAGTATCAAATTAGTCATTATTTTCATCAGTAAAATTCTCATATTCTTTAGTGTTTTTTTGGGGTTGTTAAATACATAACTATATTTACCAGCAAAAAAATTGACTATATATATATATTCATGTTTTTATATTCTTCATTGGATTGTGTTTTAAATATTATAAATAATTTAACTATAAGAGAAGGAAATTAATGGCAAGTAGAAAGACATTTGCATTTCATTTCAGTAATGTTCAAAACATAGACAAGAAGCACATATTTTGGTGGAGTCTATAAATGAATATGTAGAAACAATTAATTCCCAGCAGTGATTGTTTTATGAAAAAACATAAGATATTTCTCATTACAACAAACATTTATAAATTCATATTGAAATATTTCTGTGACTTATGAGGGACTAAAAATTAACTTCAGCTCGTCATGTGTTAACAAATCTGCAATTTTTTCTAACTTCCCCTGTAACAAAGCTCTCTGGATTCAGAATATTTCCCATTTTCACCATCGAATCGGCGAACTGTTGGAAGAAAGTGATCGGATCGGCTGCATACTTCTTGACAAGCTCCTTAGTTTGAACACCAAAAACACTTGAATACAATTCCTGGTCTGAGTTAAGAAGTCCTTCTCCTTTTAATAGTATGTGATAGTATGAATTGTCAAAAAGGTTTGGTGTGACATGGTCCAATGTTGTTATGTTGTTGTCACCTCCATTATTAGGGCAACTAGATTTCAATTTTGCGAGGTATGGTTCAGAGATCGGATTCAGCCTGGTTGTTGCTCGGAAATCGCCATAAATCCTGTCTCGGTAGTTTGTGCACCGTGCCACCCCAATCGTGTGGGATCCTGAAAATTATGTGCAAAGAATGAATTTTTCTAGCATGTGTTTTCTTGTTGAACCCTAATTTAGGTCCCATGGACTAAGTAGGAACGGACCAAAAACTTGAAATTTGAGTTTTATTCATGCAAGATATTGCTATATAAATAGCACGTGTTACAGCATCATTAAAAGACAATTTCTAACAAGGATATATAACTTTCTTTATTCTAGCAATTACTTCTATAATAATACCAACAATAATAATGAAAATAACAATAATAATAATTCAATTCTGCTCATACCAACCGAACATCTGGTGTCCTCATTATATTTAACTTATAAGACCATTCTCCTAAAAAAAGAAAAAAAAAAAATATATATATATAACACCATTAATTGCAACCATACGATTTAAAATAAATATGGTCAATTTAGTTCGTTGATTCAAGTTTTTAATTCGAGTTGAGATATGACTTTATATTATAGCTTTTTACTGTAATAAAAAAATTAGTGTAACTGTTTCTGAGAGTTTTTTACTGTAACAGAACTCGAATTCTAAAATCGAATTGGTGAAATAAACGGGGCCTATAGTGTATAGGGTAATAGAGCCACACTTTATTGAGTAGAGATTTGTACCCCTACTTAATTTTAAAAGTTTGAATTTTTTCAGATTTTTTTTTATAAGTTGTAATTGTACCCCCCGTTTTACAAGAAAAATTATAATTACACCTCACTTTAAAAATTAATATATAAAACCATCCCCCATCCAATGATATACATATTCTCATAGTACTTTATTGAAAAAAAAAAAAAAAAATTTAGATCCGCAATTAGAAGTATATAATATGGGCCTATATACCGTCAAAAGATTTCTTAGGTAGGACTATTAAATAGATCTCCTTGAGAGAAGCATGCTTACCTGAAAGGGCTACCATATCAGTAACAGAGAGACCTTGATAAAGAAACTTGGAAATGAGTGAAAGAAGGGACTGGTTTGGTGTGGGAATATTTGATTCCGCAAGATCATGCCCTGCAGTCACTGAATCCTTTCTTCCCACAGGAACATCCCAGTATGGTCCACCAACCTACAAAATTACAAAACAATTATACTACAAAGTGAAAAAAAAAAATATGTCGCTCCGTTTGGTTAGAGAGATGGAGAATAAAAAGGATGTAGATAGTTGAAAGGATAAAGAGTAGGAAGGCTGAAGAGAATTATAATAATCTTTTATGTTGTTTAGTTGGATGGAAAGAGAATTGAAAGAATAAATGATAATTATTTATTTAATTACTAAATTATCCATTTTATTATTTTTTAATAATTTATTTTGAAAGGTGAAAAAATAATTTTATTTAAATTTTAGTGGATTGATTGGATCCTTTTATTGGTAAAATGATCCAAAATGATAGGCCCGGAGAAAGTCTCTCTCTCCCTCCACCACTCTCCCTCCCTCCGTCCCTCCCTCCTACCAAACATACCTTTAAAGAATAAACTTTAAACACGCATATTAAAAAACAGAAAAGAAAAACTACCAAAATCACAGCATCTCTGGCTGCAATAGTGAGAATATCAGCACATGAGACAATCCCAGGGCACTCTGATTCAACCATGTTTTTGATCTTATCAATGATATCATAACCTTTCAAAGAGTTTCTGTTGGGAGCAGCTTTCTTCTCTCCTTTCAGGCTTATTGTGTCATCTAGCAAAACTGAGGCATCGCATCCCTGCATAACCCCCCAAAACAAAAAAATTAATAATAATGATAATAACAATAATAAATAAATAAATAAAACATTTCTAAACATTTAATCTTCAAAAGCTTGATTTTTTTTTGCATCACTTTGGCACGTCATAGTAGAATATATTGTATCATGTCGACGAAATTAGTGTCGACGTAATACTATACAACACAGTTTACCGGGACATATCAAACAAAGATTAGGAAGTATGATATGGAGTGGAACAGATTTCAGTCTCAAGAAATGTGAGAAAAGGAACTTAAGTATGGACCTGAACAAAACAGTCATGGAAATGTAGGCGAATTATCAACGCCGCGTTGCGAGGATTGGAGAGCACGGCGCATTCTGATTCTTTCCTCACCATGTCAAACACAGTTGGACACGTTTTAGCATAGTAATCAAGTGTTAAAGGAAAATCACTTGCATGAACACTAATGTTCAAAACACAGAGGACCAAAATCATAAATTGTAGAGCAAAGGGTCTAAAACAAAGGGAATGCTCCATTTTTTTTTTTTTTTTTCTGTTTTAGCTTCTCTATAGTTTTGCTTGGACAAGTGAAAATTTCTTGGGACTGTAAGATATATATATATATATATATATATATATATGTATGTATGTATATAAGTGAAGAGAATACACAATTGTGCACGTTTTGATTTTGCCAGTGCGTTTGAGTGAATTGCATGAAGAAGATTTCTGGAGTCAATAGGAGATGCAACTAATTTTTGGCCTGGTTGGTGGGTACTCCAAAACCAAAAGTTTGTGTGTGAGAGAGATCATAAAATAGAAGTTAGTGTTTTGCTTAACGCCTTACTATTAAGAATCATCTCTAGTCACCAAATTGGAAACTTAAGTCATGCAATTTTTCCCCTTTCAACTTTTTGACAAAGTCTAGTTTATATATAAATTTGTCTTAAATTACAGTAAATCAGCCCAAGTTGGAGGAGCAGTGGAGACTAACTTGTTCAAGACACTAGTATTACAATAGGGGAAAAAATGGCATTTACTTATTTATTTTTATTTGTTTTGGACTGTTATTTCGTGTGAATTTCATTGGATGAGTTGTAGACTAATTTGAGCAAATTAGGTTAAACCAAAACACTTTACACAATCTAATTTTAATTCATGTTGTTCGTCAAAGAAGACTTGCAAGAAGTGAATTGAAAATCTTACATTCTTTACAAACAAGATTTCTTGCTTTTCCATGGGGCAGATGCAAACCAGAGAATTTAGAATAGATGAGAATATGTCAAAGTCGTGATCATTAAGTGCAAGAAGAGCATATACGTTTTCATGTGTTAGTAGAATTTAACTTAAGACTACTAATAACCCACTAAGTATGGATTATTTGTTCGAACATTGAGCTACTATTGGCTGTTTACTTCTCCATGTCACCTTTGTTGTTAGACTTGATAATTGAGCAAATCTTAGCTGTGTACTTCTATATATCACTTTGTAGACTTATATTTATAATAATGAATCTTTTATGCTCTTTATTGCTGCCATGGAGAGCGACCGAAATACATCAATGAAAACCACTGGTGCAAGTGGCGTAGCGGTAAGGGACGAACGCTCTCCATCTCTTTCTCCCACCATTTAAAATTTAAAGGTTAAATTCTATGGCCAACACTTTCTACTTCGAAATATGAGGTTTGTACTTGACAATACATGAATGGATCTGTAAAGATTGTTGACAAAGGTATGGACTGTGAATGGATCTATAGAGGTTGTTGACAAAAGTGTGAGCTAGTCTCATGCGGTTCTAGTGAAATCCGAAAGCGGCGTTGGGTAAAGACGTACACACCACTGATTTTTTTTTTTTAATTAGCAAAAAGAAATACAATCATGGGAATCAGATTTCAAAAGGTTTTAACTTCCCTCTTTATTCCGCCAAAAATAAAAATTTAAAGAGAGAGAGAGAGATATATATATATATATGGAGTCCTGCATTCTTCAATCCCTTTGCAACAGCTCGGGATAACTTTTTTAACATCCTCAAAATCAGAAATCTGGGCAAGTACATCCAGATGGTTTTCCAATTGGAATCTTTCCTATTTTATGCTATGTTTCTCATAACCTAAATCAATTGTATTTAAAGATCATATTCATATATGCTGAATTTTAACTTTTACTGGGGTTCTGTTATGCACAAATGAAACTAGGAATCAACATTTCCACATAACACAGCGAAGAAGCAATTTCTTTCTTTATTGTCACATCGAAGATAAACTTCAAAGAACCAGAAAAGAGTGGACGGGTCATACTCGCTACCTTGAATGGATCATAGAATGTACACTCCATTTTATTGGTTTCAAGGAAAATTCTTGGTCACCCTTGTGAATTTATGATCTCATAGCTGCACATGATTGGACCCATTATTGTGACAACATTTTCAAATTACCAATTCTCTATGGTCCTCCAAGTGCTTTTAAAAACCAACTTGGCTGAAGACGAGAAAGACATCAAAACTTCTCACAGTAAAACAGCATAACATTCTATTACTTGATTCTTCATTTTTCTTCCGAAAACAAAATTGAGGAACATCGAAACGACAAAATCTATATGTTAGCAAGATCTAAAATGGGAGACAAAAACAAACATCTTTGGGTACATAGAACCAGCAACTCGAAACCTAGTTGTTCAGGTATACAATTTAGAATCAAACAGATTATCCTTGATATGGCTGGACCTAAAATATTCATCCTCAGCACCAGCGCATATGCTTAAATCCAAGCTAGGCAAAACCTTCTTCAGTAGAGACTTAACCAGGGACACTGCAGAACTACCCACTTCAGGCCATGTAACACATAGAGTTCCCTTGATCTTCCTCATCTCACATCTACTCAACAGAGCTGCAGCCAGCCCCTCCACCACACTTCCCGATGGAAAATAGTCTACCCCTTTGAGCGCAATGCTGCCACCAAGCCCTTTCCTTTCCGATGACGTCTCCAGCTTGAAAGCAAATATGTCATCCGGCGAGAGCCTACCTCGAAAGTTCTGGCGCTGAACAGAGTCCAAAACCAGTACCCTTTCAGGAACGATCTGCTCCCCTATCAGCAACTTAGCAACAATGTGAGACCTCTCCGCAGCAACAGGGCACTGGACGGAGACAAGGAGAATCAAATTGTTTCCATCGCCAATGGAGTAGATATTGCAGGACTTGTCTCGGAGAGAGGGCTCAGTGGAATTTCCGGAAAAGGGTAACTCAGGAAGGACGAGGCTTCCGACTAGTTCCTTGGAGGGCAAGTGGTGGAAGATGTAGAGGGAAGACGATGATATGGCAATGATGAGGAGAGACGGTCGGAGAGGCTCTTTAGGTTTTGGATTGGAAAACAAGAGGAATGGCGACGGAATAGGCGTTGAGGGAGGTGTGAAGGTGTTTAGATCTTCTTGGTAGAACCTTGATGGTGGGGGAATCTCAGTTATAACGTCTTCCATATTTCACTTAACTCCACAATCACTTTGCAAACTTGATTCACAAAAGATTTACATTAAATCAGTCTATCACAATTCATTATTCACCAATAATTCATAGATACAGAAACTCCCTCAAAATAAAGAAATCAACGTTGGAACTTCAACAATTAAGTACATATAAACTAGCAGTGACCTCTTATAAACAGAGCCAAAACATATAGACCAAATTCATTTCATAATCTGAACTAATCATTATTTGATAGGCATGTTCAACAGACCAAGACTTCAATGTAAGAACGCCAAGAAGATCCAAACAAAAATCTGGAGAAAATCAGAAGAAAAAAAAAAAAAAAAAAAAAAAAAAAAAAAAAAAACCCGTTAGGGTATCCATTTTCATTTATTGCGCAAATCACCAGGGAAACCACATACATTAAAGACAGGCACAAATCTTTTTGCTTCCGAAAAATATTTAGCTTTACTTCAGCTACTATCTAGTATCTACTATTCTCACCAGATCTCAATCACTGTTCAAGTATGTGTTTGGTTTCCAAGAAAATCACAAGAATGATCATAAAAACAGGGCGAAGAAAAGCAGGAAAGCTAATAAGGGGGTGGCAAAAGAGCTCACCTCCGAAAGTATTGAACGGAATTGGTTGGAGTAAAAGCCCCAGCGAAGACAAAGTCTCTAGTTTTCTTTTTCTTTTTCTAATTTTCCTGGAATCCAAACAACCTAAGGAATAATTGAGTGGGAGTAGATGATGTTTAGGTTAGAATTGGGGGTCTGGTCTGCCGACGGTGGAAGCGCGCAGCTTTTGTCTTTGAAAGTCCGGGCTCTTCCTTGTCCAACACGAGAAATGAGAATCCAGAACTCAACTTCGTGGCTGAATGTAAAATCTTCAACCATACAGCTGTTTATTTATTTATTTTTTTAAGGAAAAATCTCCCGTAATAACTTGACATACTAATTTTTAACTATTAAAGAAAGGGTGAAGAATTAAATTTTAAAATCTTTCGGTGAGATTTAAAAAAATTCCTCTGGTAAGGTCTTGTTTTTTTAATTATTAAATTAATTTTTTAAATGTTAGATCTATAATAAAAATAATTATATGTGACACGTTATTAATTTTTAACACAAACTTATATATATATTTGACTGATAAAAAATTAATCTAATAGTTATAAAGACTCTATAAGGTTTTTTGAGATTCCAAGATAAAATTTGCCTAAACTTTAAAACCTCCTCTTTTTATTTATTTATTATTATTATTATTATTATTATTATTTATGAAGGAGAAACCGGTTTTGTACTATATATGCTTGATGATGCAACAGAAAATAATACGCATAAAAAACAGCTTCTTGACACAAATTTGTGTTCAAACTTTTTTATTCAAACCAACCAATTAAATAGGCTATATAAATTTGTTTAAAGTAAAAAAAAAAAAAAGAGATAAAATTATGAATAATTTCTTACAATGTGTTTGGTTGGTGTATTCGTGCCATGATTCGAATCATGGTTCATGGTTCTCTACAGTATTTTCTCTCACAAAAAATACATGTAACTTAAGAATGGTTATGAATCATAATTTTGAATTCATGAACCAAACATTCACTAATACCAAGAAAATTAGGATAAAATCAAAATTTTAGTTTTATAAATTATGCAAAATTTAACACACATGCATTCACATTTTCACCATGTCCCTAATAATTTGTAATTATTTACTTTTATCGTACATATCACTGCTCTTTATTAAATTCTGTTACATACAAAAGTAGAGTTTGCATTTTTACTGCAGGGCGGGTACAAGGGCAACACACCAGCCCGATACACACTTTTTTTTTTTTTTAAAAAAGGAGAAAATTCAAAAATATCCCCTCAATTTTATCTAAATACAACTTTTATCCTTGAGTTTTTTAAAATCCAAAAAGTATACCCTTTATTTTTCAACCCATACAAAAAATATCCCTTTTTTTAAACTTAAAATGGCCAAATTGTCGTTGAATATTTCATATATACTGTCCAAATTTATGTTGAGCTATACCAACTTTTAAATACCCCTCTTAGATTTTTTTCTTTTTTGAAGTAAACCTCTTAGGAAATTTACAGCACTAATTTGAACATTTTTTTTTACTTTTTTTTCATTTTAATAAGAAAGTGAAATTTTTTTTTAAAAAAAGATGTAATTATATATATATATATATTGAAATATTAGACATGACAAATTTATTTATCAATTTGAGGTGAAATTGTATTTTGCAGAGCATAATAAACTAACTTGTTAGAATTGGCCAGCACTATTACGTGACAAAGTTTAAATCTTTTTTTTTTTTAAGATTTCACTTTCTTATTAAAATAAAAAAAAAACTTGTTTAAATTGTTGTTGTAAATTTCTTAAGTGAGCCACTTCAAAAAAATATAAAAAAGAAAGAAAAAAAAAACTTAAGAGGGGTGTTTGAAAATTTGTATAAACCAACACAAATTTAAATAGTATATAAGATATCTAAAGACAGTTTAGCCATTTTAAAAAAACTAAACTAGAGAATTTAAAAGAGGGAATACTTTTTGTCTTTTTTTATTAAAATTGAAAAAAAAAAAAAAAACTTGTTCAAATTGGCGTTGTAAATTTCTTAAGTGAGCCACTTCAAAAAAATATAAAATAGAAAGAAAAAAAATTAAGAGGGGTGTTTGAAAATTTATATAAACTAACACAAATTTAAATAGTATATAAGATATCTAAAGACAATTTAGCCATTTTAAAAAAACTAAACCAGAGAATTTAAAAGAGAGAATACTTTTTGTCTTTTTTTAAAAACATAGGGAATACTTTTTGAATTTTAAAAAATTCAGAGATAAAAATTATATTTAGACAAAATTAAGGAATACTTTTTGAATTTTCTCATTGAAAAGAATAGGATAATTGTGTACCATACTCACAAAGAATGTTACATTTATGGGTTGTTTGGTTAGGAGATTCGTACCCCGATTTGAATTATAATTCATGATTCGCTACAGTATTTTCTCTCATAAAAAATACACGTAAATCAAAAATGATTATAATCTCATTACTCTAATCTATGAACTAAACGTCTCCTTAATTTGATAAAATTTACTTGAAGAGTTTTGATTATGTTGCAAGAAATGAATAAATTGGTAAGGTACAGAGAAAAATCCGATAGAAATTCCCAACCCCAACTCAAGTTAGGCGGTATAGGGGCGGGGATGGGGAAGCATCCCTACACAAAAGACTCATAAACCTCAGTATTGCTAGCTTGCACTTGTAATGAATCAACAATCAATCCAAAGAACATCTGTTCAATCATGGATACAAAAGAAAACTATAAAGACAAGAAAATTTCCGGTTACAACAACGCTATCGGGGAAAAGAATGATTGAATTCATGTGCAAAATTTCGAGACCTGCCGAATCGACTATTCTAGTCCAAGTAAAACTATTTCAAGCTAATATTAACATCCTTGAAACAAATCAATTGCGAGCCAACAGACTCAAAAAGCCAAGGCAATGGGGTTACAACATCCAAAATCTAAGATCAAGAATCAAACTTCTCAAGCAGTTGAGATCCGTTATCAACCTGCTCCAAAATTCGAAGTTGAGCCAGCAATATAACCCTTCAGTTATAAAGGGATTTCTTGACCAAAATTATTTTTTTTTCCTCTCCATAAATCAGAAGTAAGCTGCCCTTTATCTGCAGGAAAAATAAAAAATAAGTTCTCCTTAGTTTGACTAAGCAGGTAATGAAAAGATGAAAGCAAGAAAATGGTAAATAAATCCTGCGGTACATTACACGCACTCGGAGCTTAAAAAAAAATTACAGAACATTCTACCCATACACTTGATTTACCAAGGTTGTATAGTTAATATTTATGCAGCAACCAAGAAAGAATATGCTACAGAGGCAGATGAATCATTTTAAATCCTATAAATAAAAGACAGTAAATGAATTTGGCCTTTGACGGGGATTGCAAAAGCTTCTTGCAAAGTAAAAGCACCTTTTGCAATGTCAAAGTTATAGCGGTGAATTTTGTTTCCTTATCAATCTTCGTGTTCGTCTTCACCTTCGGAATCTGATCAGGAAACATGGAAAAGTACCACAAAAAATTAGATAACAAAGAAGAAGATAACTATAACCGGAGATATTAATAAGAGAATATTACTAATAGAGGACAAAACAAATGTGCCATGCTGCGTTTAGTGATTCCTGGTCACATCGTAAGTAGAACACAAGGGACACATTCTGTTACTATATTCTAACATCCCCTACTCATAAACCAAAATTTAAATTTGGATTTAGGAGAGGAAAAGAAGAGATAAAACGCAGGCAAATCTAAGTCCTTATCATTAAAGACAGTAGTATGTAAATTATCAACTCAATCAAATTATTTGTTACCCCAATTACTAGAATTTGTACAAGTAAAACTAACAAGTGGAATTCCAGCATAGAGAGAAAACTTAGGCAAATGTTCACATTTCTAATGCACCTTTTCCTATTAGAGTCAAATTTCTATTTCAATACTGAAAAGTATGTATGTGGCTCTGACACACGATGAGATGATCTAAAAAATATATTTTTCTTACCAGATCGAACATCTTCACTAATGCGGCCTCTTGCTTGGATTTGCTTGACAAGCATTCGATACATCAACACCCACCAATAAATGTGAACAACAAGCAAGGAGTAGAGGAGACAATTGAAAACATAATAATAAATTGGTCCCTCTACTGGGTGCTTTTCCTTGTCCAAGGTAAGAATAACTTCATAACTGCGAGAGCATGAGAGAAAAAAAATTTAAAGATTAAAATTAATCATTTCTTATTCCAATGTTCAATTTTAAATTTGCTGAGACGAACGCCAATTAACCAAGATGTTCAAAGAAACAATAGTTTCTAAGGTACTGAAGCGATAAACTAGTCTTTTCCAAGAGAAATTCAAAATGGTCTAGCAGGCTAATAACTTAGATGTAACTCTAGTGATCTAGCAGATGTTTGAAATATGCAAAGAGAAGAAAAGGAGTTAACATCACTAAAGTTACACAAATACACGAGGAAATTTTCTGGACTTCATACTGAGAATTAGACTATAGACATCCCTTTTCAGAAATCAGAAACTAGCAACAACGTCTAAGCAGCTCCTTCTTTCTAACATTATCAAAGTTTATAATTCAATAGATTTCAATAAACCATATGTTAATTACTTTGACTAAAACTGAAGTTTTAAACCTTGGCTAAAAGACATATATTACAAGCTAACAGAAATTGAACAGGTTTGATAAAATTTAGCATCATCTTGTACAGACCTTGTACTCCAAAGGATCCAAAACGGATAGTAAATGAGACGCAATATGACCCATGATATAACAAAAAGAATAAAAGCAAAGCTAGCCACCCCTTCTGCACCGCTGTATTTAGACATCTTCCCAACCTCAAGAAACACATCACTGGCGTCATGAATAGCTAAAACAACTGAACCAACACGAGCAAACCTGCAAGAAACAGATTCGTACAAGTGAAGAGTTTTCTTTCTTTCTTTTTCCTTCTTCGTTACTAATGTATATATCCCTTTTCTTTACAAATGTATGCATAGTGCTAATATCAGATTAGCCAGTATCCATCATACTGTGTCCATCATGGAATATGGGATAAAATTGTTGTGCCATCAAATAAGCTCTCCCTCATACTTCCTGTAGGAAATTAATCCTAATATATTTCCATGGGTGAGGGGTGTTGTAACTCATCAAAGGTACCTGAAAATGTAAGAAAGCACTAGGAGAATGAATGTTGCAACATGATGACTCATTGACACCCCAAAGTCAGAGCGCCTTGTTTCCCAAAAAATCAAAGCAAAGATGGAATATGCGTAGAATCCAGCAGAATACAAATACAATCCCTTCAATTTCAACCTGATATCCATAAAAATACAATCCATTGTTTAGTAAAACAAAGGCTTTTATTCTATTGATGGGGTGGTTAAACACAGGGAACAAACAATAGAATGTGAATTTCTGACTTGGAAAACCATAAAGATTTGACATTGAAACAAAAGGTCTTACTTTATTTTCTGGTCGGGCCAGACTTGATTTCCTGGACCCACCCAGAAGTTTCTTGTATTAGTAAACCAAGGCTCATAATACGTTACAGAGAGAGCTAGAAGCTCTGCTGAAAGAAAGTAAACCCATTTCCAAGCTGACTCCTTAAATTTTCTAATCTTTTTCCTTTTCTCTTCCGTCTGCAAATCCTGCGCCTGATGCCCCCTTCCAAAAATCAATCGTCTCCCCAATTTCTGCAGTACATATGATCAATTGAAAGTCTTGAGACAGAAGAAAACACGATTATATTCTTACCAAGACAATAATTATAAAGAATTCAACGGTAGGGGGGTATGAAAAATAAGCCCGTTACTAGGAGGATATAATTCTAGACACTCAAATTATATTTAATCTAATATGATTCTAGTGTGATTTGACAGTTCAAAGCTATATCCAATAATGAGGTATTTTTCAGCCATAGAATTATCATAATTATATTCTAGGAAAACAAATGAAAAAATAAAAATAAAAAAGCAGCCAGTTGTTGATCCGTAGTTTAATCTAGTCCAACTGACTTATAACAATGAATTACCAAGCTTAATATTAACTCAGATAAAGATTGGACAGTTTTTTCACAGTAAGACCATCTCTAATGCAAAAGTTAATGCCAATTGTATATTTAGCATTAAAAAGTATAATATGGTATGATATTTTCATTTTTGTTCTAATGCATAATGCTATTTAAAATGTTAAATCTACATTTTTCCATAATCATTAAGCTTTGAAAAATGTAAAAGAAAACTTTTATTTTTAAAATAATTAGAAAATGTAAAAGTTCTAATGATTAAGTGAAAAACTAAACATTTTAACCAATAGCCATCAAATGTTAAATTTCCCATATGCTATACTTGGTGGGAAATTTTTCAGAACAAATAGCATTGCATTAAAGAGTGTTTTTTTACACCAAATGCTAAATTTGCAAGGCACATCAATTATAGTATTGAATATTGGAGATGCTCTAAGAGTAGCTCTCATAACGAACATTTTCTTACCAAGTCTTTTGAGATCGCGTGTGCAATATTCCAATAAAAGTAAAGGTGAAATAGTAAATATCAAATAACCACCTCTGAAGGGAAAAAAAAAAAAATTAAATAGACACGTATAATGAAATCCAGCTAAATAGGTGATATATCAATAATGAGCTCTCAAGTTCTGTGTGGTCCAAATAGTAGCTTCAAAAACTCAAAATTGATTATTGCAAAATAAATAAATCAATCAAAACTGCTCCAGAGACATGGAGATGCTTCGGAACAAAGAAAGTTATATGACATGCAAGATCAAGAAAAAGGCATACAAAAATAAATTTCCAAATCAAAAACCCAAGCAAGCTAAACAATCGAACATCCAAATTCGATTCTTTAAAATGGCTTATCAGCTTAAAGAAGTTTTCTTTCTCAACAAACAGGAACGACAAAATCAAAGCCGAGAAAATTATCAAATACATGAACTCAACTAGAACCACCAAATCATTCTTCTCCCATTAAAATATAACAGAAACAATACAAAAGTTCAAGAATCTAACAAAAAATTAAGGTTATTCTTTTACTTTTTTAAGTTATAGTGTTTTGAGTGATGATTTTAAGTTGAATTTAAATTATAACTTAAGTTAAAGTTGTAATTTAAGTTTATGTTTAGATATACACATTTAAATTATAATTTAAATTGAGAATTTTTTTTAATTTGTGTTTGAATTGATCAAAACTTAAATTTATATTTAAATAATATTTTAATAAAAATTTAATAATAATAAAAAATTTTAATAAGATATATAGATGAGGTTTTTATTCATCTTTTTATTGTAAATGTATTAAAAAATCATCTCAATTAAAATTAAAACGAAAAAATTATAATATTTTTAAAAATAAAAAAATATTATTTTTTAAGTTTATAAATTTAAATTAAAAAAAAAATTTAAACTCAAGTTTAAATTTAATTTTAAACTCCAGTCTAAACTTAAATTTTAGTGCATAAACTTATGAGTTTCGTTCTAAAAAGAATAAAGAAAATACGAGAATCAACAAATTGAAAAAGAAATAAAGAAAAATAAAAGGGTCAAAGCAACACATTTCTAACGCAAATTTATAAGCTGATATACAAATTCGATACCTCAAAAACGAATCTGTCGAGAAAGAATCGAACTGTGGGGAAGAACAGAGAAAGGAGAGGGACGATCATGAAATCTTCGTAGGCTGGATCGGATTCGTGTTCCCAGTCGAGAGACTTGACGTTCTTGATCAAATCCATCTTCGGATTTTCCTTGTGCCCAATCGATCGCCCAAAACAAACCGGCACGCCAGTGTATACGCAAGATCATACGACCTGATCCCCCTCTTTCTCTCTCTAGTTTCTCTCTCTAAAAAAATATTCTGAGAGTTCTTCTTGCGCTTTGGTCAGACAGAGAGAGAAAGAGAGCGAGAGTTTCGCAGGGTCGCGTTGGGAAAAGG